ATATCACTCCTGACGAATGCTTTGAATAATGTTAATGCAACATTTTTTGGTGCATTAAATCCTACTGAACGCTTTATCATACACATTTTCATGTTACATTTTTTAACAATTTTGTGAATATGATCATCCCAATACAGGTTAGATGCTATTTCAACCCCAAGATCCTTAACAGTTTGGGTTCTGTCAAGGATACAGCCATTCATCGTATAAACATATTTTATAGGTTTTCTAGAACGTGTTAAAGATAAAATTTGACATTTTGACGGATGGAATTTCATTTTCCAAATATTACTCCACCTAGTAAGAGCGTCAATGTCCAACTGGAGCTGGAAACAATCATTAACGGTATCAATTGATTTGAAACATTTAGCATCGTCGGCGAATAATGCAACGCTCGAATTCAAGGCAAAGCTTGGCAAGTCATTAATAAATAACAGAAAGAGTAGTGGACCCATAATGGATCCCTGTGGGACACCCGAAATTACTGGAAGCCAATCAGAACAGACGCCTTTGATGGCCAAGTAACAAAGCGATCCTAGATACTGAGTTAAAACCATACTGGGACTACAGAGAGGAAATATTAGTGGAAGATGAGCTATTGTTTAAAAATGACAGAGTGATAATACCAGCAAAACAAATGATTGCAAAGCTTCATGTAAGTCATCAAGGTATTGAAAAAACCAAGAGACTTGCGTGAGATATTATGTTCTGGCCTGGTATGAATGCACAAATAGCAGATACAGTGAGCAGTTGTGAGATTTGTCTAACACACAGAAATCGAAACGCAAAAGAACCGATGATAGGACATGACATACCAACACGTCCATGGCAAAAAGTCGGAATGGATTTATTTGAACTGTACGCAAAAGACTATCTATTGATAGTGGATGACTATTCAGGATACTTTGAAATAAATCAGTTAACAAGTACAAAATCCAATTCAGTCATCAAATTCTGTAAACAACAATTTGCGAGACATGGAATCTCAAGTGAGGTAGTGTCAGATAATGGACCTCAATTTTCATCAGCGGAGTTTAAGGCTTTCAGTAAATCATATGAATTTGAACATACTTTAGTGTCACCAAATTACCCGCAATCAAATGGAAGAGCTGAAAAGGCAGTACAAACAGCAAAGTTGATACTTAAGAAAGCAAAGGAAGACAAACAAGATCCATATATAGCGTTACTAAACTATCGCAATACGCCGCGAGATGGACTACCGTCCCCAGTTCAATTGCTAATGAGCCGTAGAACAAAAACGCAGTTGCCAACGTCAAAGAAACTCCTAAAACCGAAAACTAACAAAACTATTGTCAAAACGCTACAAAAACAAACAAAATAAACAGAAAACCTATTACGATCGTGGAGCAAAACCTCTCAAAGCACTGAAAAGTGGAGATAGAGTTTGTGTAAGAAAAGATACACAATGGAAGCCAGCGCTAGTTGTTGAAAAACACAATACGCCAAGATCGTATATAGTTGAAAGCGATGGTAGATACTACAGGAGGAATCGTAGAGATTTGATTGAAAAGGAAGGATGTCAAAATACTAAAGACCGGCGAATAGAACCAAATAGCACAAGACAGAACCAACTTCGCTACCCGAAACGTAACAGAAAACCTGTTACAAAACTTGATCTGTGATTATATAAAAAAGGGCAGAATAATCCCTGTATAATCACTGTGCCAGGATAGTCTACTTCTGAGCACAAAAGTTAATGAACATTCGTTAACAGAATGTAGTTATTATTAGTTTGTTGTAGAATTGTTGTATCAAATGAAAGAGAATTTATTACCTGTTGAGGATTGTTTATTAAGGAAAAGGAAACTAAAGTGCTAAAAAGAAATATTAGATAATTAGATTCTGTAAAAAAAAAATTAAAATTAAAAAAAAAAAATTAAAATTAAAAAAGGGAGATGTAATGAAGGTACTTTAAGATTATGAGTGAGCCCTCTATTGTATGATACATAGAGTAAGGACACATGAGCCTTAAGGCAGTTGATAACAAGATACCAATAAAGGAACATAGAAGAAAGTCAGAACAGCCTACTGTATATTATTGTCTACAACATATCATTACAGATGACACGTAATTTTTTTTTTTTGCTAATTAATGCAAGTTTCTGAAATTTCCATGAAATAGGCCTATTTATTATTCATTAGAAAGAACTTTTCGAAAAGTCCAAAAAGCTTTTTTCACTTGCTTGGTAATCAATTTCTTATATCCGTTTAAAACATCCTTCACGTGTGTGAGTGAGCTATTTGACAGATTCCATTATGGAGCTTTTGTATACAAGATCATTTGTCTCTTTGCAGTGACGGACAAAGGAGCAGACCTTACCGACCATGGAGGTATAAAAAAGACTAAACAACGACGTTGTGCAGGGTTCTGTCTTTGAACCAACCCTATGTAACAAACACATTAGACTTTCCAGCCACCTTATAAACGTTAAACGTATGCCCGGCGCGGCCCGGCAGGTCGAGGTCCATGAAAAGTCGTATACTGTATAAAGATGTGGGTTACCCACATCTTTATATTTACACAAGTAATTAAAATTGTTTATTCACAGATTAAGGCTCACTGATAAACAATTCTACTATATTTGGCTGGTGCATATGAACTTCTATTTAGAGAAATAATTTTCTTTCCAAAAATATTATTAAACGTTAACTAGCACCTCATAACGACTTTTGAATGATAAAAATCGGCTCGGTATAACACATTTTACACCGAGTACGAAATTTAAGTTAGTGGAACATACTGCTGTTACATCTTCTAATTTTACCCCGCCGTTGTATTTAGGTACACGCTACAGTGCACACAATGAGCCAACAACTTGGAGTTCCGCATGAGTGATTCACCCTTAGAAAAACCTAGACAATAACAGGTGGCCCCGTTTACTCTTGAAAGCAATTATGCATAATGAAAATAAAATGAAATGGAAATGGTTAAACTTCATTAAGCAGCTTCTTTCGAGGCATGACTTAAACCATGAATTTTGTGTAAATCAATCAACTTACCTTTCATCTGACTTTAAACTCATAAATTGTACAAATGATGATAATGAATGGTTTGAAAGAGCTTGTAAGAAATCAACTTTAAATGAATATCTCAGATATAAAAACAAACCTTTTTTTGAAACATATCTATATGATAAAACTGACTTCAAAGGATCAGCCTTAAGTTTAAAGCAAGGTCTAATTGTTTAGCTTTAGAAGGTAGGAAAAGTACATGGTATGATGAGTGCACAGGTTTTTGCAAATTATGTAACTGTAACTCTGTTGAAAATATAGAGCACTTTCTATTAGAATGCCCACAATTTTATAATATTAGGGCTAATACCTTCCATGAAATTAAAATTGCTCTATTTAAAAATAATTTACATGAATATTGGGAAAATTTCTCCAATGGTTCACCACATCTAAAAATTCATTACTTGCTTGTTGATCTTTTCTCAACAAATTCGACTCTTGGCTTAATTTTTAGTTCCTATGCATGTAATGCAATAGGAATTATTGTAATCACTTTTGCTATTTCCTATGTTTTTTATTGTGTGTAGTGTGTGTGTGTGTGTGTGTGTGTGTAGACATTTATGCAAATGCGCATGCGTCAAAGAAAAGTTTTCCGACATTTTGTTTTACATCGCGATGCGAAGATCGATGTGAAGTTTCTGCAGAGTTCAGTCAGGGCTCACGCTTACCGACCGGAAAGTCGGCATGGATGAAACTATTTTGGTTTTACGGCAAAAAAATCAACTGCTGCAGGCATAGGTATTTTGAAGAAGGCCTAAAATAAAATAAAGCAACATAAAATGTTGCTGAAATGCAACGTTTTTTCATTTAGATCTCCATTTTTCACTAAGTCCATGCGACGTTTT